TCATTACCACCCTAGTTCGAACTAGAGTGGTAGTGTAGACATACCCTGTGGATGCCTGGCTCTGGGGGAGGTGTTGGTGCATTGGGTTAGAGCAGGGAACTGAACAAAAATGATTAGAGGTTTGGAATGGGTCTCATATGAGGAGAGATTAAAAAGTCTTAGACTTTTCAGCTTAGAAAAGAGGAGACTAAGAGGGGATATGAAAGAGGACTATAAGATTATGATGCATCCAGACCATTCACATCCACTTTGCGCACGGGCCCCAGCACCTGGAGGGAAAGTGCATGGCTCCCATGGGACCCAGGGCATTACCCTCTGCCCTGATAGATTTATGTCTGTGGGAGGGAAAGGGCATTGGGTTAGAGCAGGAGGGCTGGGGGTGCCTGGTTCTGGGGAAGGGGAGGGGCATTGGAGCAGAGGGCTCTGGGGTACCAGGCTCTAGAGGAGGGAAAGGGCATGGGGCTGGTGCAGGAGGGCTGGGGTGCCTGGCTCTGGGGGAAGTGTTGGTGCATTGGGTTAGAGCAGGGAACTGGGTGTTTAAACTTCCGGTTTCTTTCCTTTCCTGTAGGTGGGCAGTGGGTCTGTTGGTTAGATTTGGGGGGTTCCAGTCTTTGCTTTGTGAGGACTGTGGGAGCTGGTGCTCGGTGGGGCAGGGAGGGGAAAGGAAGGGATTCTGGGAAGCAGGATTCCTGGGTTCCTTTTCTAGCCATGCCACTTCTCCCCTTGGTGCCTTTAACTTCACATTGATCGTACTTATATTTCGCTAAATATTGTATTGGTAGTTTTTATTTTATTTGTTAAAATTGTGAAGCCCAAACAAAAAAGTAATCAATATAATGGTCTTCTGTTGATATGTGTTTTAGTAGTTAAATTCCTGGAGTGTTATTGCTCATTAAAAGTGCTGTTATATGGGTGGAAACAGGGCAAATGTTGCATTTTATTAGTATCAGCAGAACTGACTTAAATGGAGCCTGCGTGTTATGTAATATTGCCTTAATCTTTGTATTCATGACCCTCAGTGTGAAATAAACTATTTGCATGCATTTGCATAAACATTTGCATCTATATTTACATATATATGCAACCACTCTTAAGTTGTGGCCCTCGGCATGTGGTGTGGGGATCGTTGTGGTCCCTGGGGCTTCCAAAGTTGAGTAGCCCTAGATGATAACAATGGTACCTTCTGGCCTTGGTCATGATTTTTTCACACAATACAGATGCTAGAAGTTGCTGTACATAACAGATATTTAAAATGGACCACAACCAAACCAACCCACTCTGTTCCTGAGACAAACATTTAATGCCTTAATTCGATTTATGTTATCAACAAAGATTTTAAAACTAGTCATGACAGCAAATAGATACATATGATTAACTGTTTGGGCTGGTTCCAAGCCCCCTTCTTTTCTCTGGCTATTAAATTAATTTGGGATGAGTGGACTGGTAGATATTTGGTTTGTGCCGTGTCTTTTTGTTTGTAAATCATGTGTGTGTGTGTAACTGGTATATATATTTTTTTTAAATCATGAAGTGAGGAATTCAAAAAGTAGTAGTAAAAACATTTTTAAGTATATCAAAAGCAGGAAGCCTGCTAAATAAACAGTGTGGCCACTGGACAATTGAGATGCTAACGGACCACTTAAGGATGATAAGGTCCTTGCTGAGAAACTAAGTGAATTCTTTGTATTGGGCTTCATAGCTGAGGATGTGAGGGAGATTCCCAAACCTGAGCCATTCTTTTTAGATGACAGATCGGAGGAATTATCCTAAATTGAGGTATCATTAGATGACATTTTGGAATAAATTGATACATTAAAAAGTAATAAGTCTCAAGGATCAGATGGGCATTCACCCAAGAGTTCTGAAGAAACACAAATGTGAAATTGCAGAACTAGTAACACTAATGTGTAACCTATCATTTAAATCAGCTTGCACCAAATGACTGGAAGACAGCTAATGTAATGCCAATTTTTAAAAAGGGCTCCAAAGGTGATCCCATCAATTAGAGGCCAGTGAGACTTCATTACTGAAACTATAGTAAGAAAAACCCAATATTGTCAGATTAATAGACAAATATGAATGGTTAGGGAAGCATCAACATAGTTTTTATGAAGGTAAATCATGATAAGAGATTACTTAAGCCTGGGACGTTTCAGCCTGGAAGAGCAACACTAAGGGGGGATATGATTGAAGTCTATAAAATCATGACTGGTGTAGAGAAAGTAGACAAGAAAGGTCTGTTTACTCCTTCTTATAACACAAGATTTAGGGGGTCA